TCTTTTTTTGCTTTTAAATTTTTTTGTGAACAACTAAAAATTTGTATTAGATCTGAATTTTTAATTTAAAAACTATTTTATTACTTTTCTAATTACCCTAAACCTATAAGATTCAATTTTTATTTGCAATATTTTATTTTTATATTTAAGTCATAAAACGTATTTTTGAAAATTATAATATTAAATAAATATATTTTATTAATAAGTGATATATATTGACTAAGGAATTAAAAATTTGTTGTTTTTAATTATTTTACGGGTGGAACACAATTTTATACAAAATAATTCCAAAATTAGTATATATAAACGACTTTTGGTTTCCGTATAATAATTTTCTAAATAATTATAGATATATTTTTAACTAAAACAATATTGATTTTACTCGCTAATCATATTATCCTGCATATAACGCGGTTATTATTCTAGTGTTAGTTTTTTTTTTTGTGCACAACTTTTCTTCATTACTAAATTTCCATAATTCAAAGAGAGGGAATTAAACATCCTCTAATCTTACTAACAAATAATTGAAACGCAATAGAAAATAGAGCAGATAAATCATCTCGAAAGATGGACATCGTATCCAAGGCATGCCTCAAATGCGTCAAGATAGTCTTCGCGGCAAAGCCGGAAAATCTCAAATTGGTCACTATCCAATGTGACGTTGAAATCGAACTCCTACCTCCGGTAATCATCGAAACGAGATCGGCCGCTTCTTCTGGTCCCATACAGACCGCTACACAAGAAGGCGAGACAGTGAGAGTATTGTTAAGGTTTTCCGGCTCAAAGTTCAGGACTAACTCCACTCTCAAAGAGAGAAAAATATACAACCACTATTAACAAGAGAGAAGAGGATACGACCACTCTAATAGGAAGATGATACGACCATGCCCGATATGGAAGAAGTTTGAAAAGAGGTCAAAAACCTCGCCGGACTATAAATTCTCTCTTCCCGATAGAAGAGGAAACGATGAATGATCTCTACTTGGTCCACGAGTAAGATGGTGTCACGGCCATAGACAACAGCAAACTCGGCACGATAGAGTGTGACATAGAAGCAATAATGGCCGAGGTTATCGATAGCTCTTCGGCCATTAGAGGCGATTGAACAAATCCTTTTGTTCTTGGTGCTTTCAAAGCAGAGCGTTGGAAAGGGTTCTCCGAGTAGGAGAAAGGTGGTGATATGGTTCTCTCCTGGATAGAGGAAATAGGGAAAAATTTGTGACAATATTCTCTCCACCGGGAAGGCAATTGATGATAAGCGGGACAAAACCAGTACTGGAATGTCTGGAACATCTTCGGCTTTTAACTCGGAAGACTTTGCGACGGTCTTTAACTTTGATAGGCTGTGACCAGAGCTGATAGATCTTACTGGGCTTACAAGACCAACAAGAGTGAGAACCAGTCTTAGCCCATGTTAGCTTGTTGTGTGTCGGTGCCGGAAAATCTGGTTTTCTGGAGAGTGAAGGTGTTACGGCTGCACGGAGATATGGAAGGTTGAAAAAACCGCTCACCAAAAAATTTTGCGTCGTCGAAACAGATATCTTCGTGAAGGTTCCTTGTTGTGGGCTCGATACCCACAGACGGCATGACGAGGTCTTCTTTAGAGGAGCCGACAGATCTATAGAGAGACAGCAACAAATCCGGTTGAGGTAGATCTCGTCCCAGATCTCGCTTTGTCTCGTATCGATAGAAGTTAGTTGCTGCCGGAGTTGACGAGCTTATTGGGTTTTGAAAGAGGGCGAAGATGGTGGTTGTTCGGGATTTCAATTGAGTAGTTACTGAAGAGCAGTGGAAGCCGAAGGAGAAGCATGAGCATAGGTCTTCTGCTATGTGCTCGACGAAAAAGCACGTACCCTTGAAACTTACGAGACGATGGTGGAAGGCGGAGGAATCGAGCGGGGTGTGGTGGGTTGTGGAACAATGAACCGCACGGCGGAGGAATCGAGCGGGGTGTGGTGGGTTGTGGAACAATGAACCGCACGGTAGCACGAGATCGACACGAGTAAGCAGGTGAACAGAACAGAAGCAATTGATGAACAGAGAGTAAGAGCCAAGGCCCGACGCCGGTGAGCATGAGCTCCACCGGCGCCGGAAAACGATGAGATTCTAGTTGTCTTGATAATTGTGCTAGAAAGTGTTTTTAAATTAAAAAGATTCTAAATGCAAATTAAACCATTTCTAGTGTTAGTTATATATCTAGTTATTAACATAATATAATAAATACATTGGAAAAATCAAGTTATGAATTCAAAAGCTTTACTTAAGTCAAATTGTAACGCTTTACTTAAATACTTTGGAGACAATCAACTTTATGAATTCAAAAAATAAGTTTACCAAATGTTTTTTTTTTACTAAATAGTTCCAGGTATGTCATGAACTTATCACTTAGATCATTAACTTAATATTGAATATAATCATATATAAGACATAAATAAGAGATGACAAAAACAATATTGTTGAAATTTATCAGAGAATTTACACACATTTTATTCTAGCTTATTTTTTAGTGTATAACGATAATTGGTTGATTAATTCCGACTTGTCTTATTGAATATTTGCTTTACCGTTAAAACAATAGTACATGAAATTGATGGCCGAGTCGAAGAATAACTTTAAAACAAAAGTATAATTTTGTATTTATTAATGATTTACGCGGTGAGGAAACATGGTTGGTGTGTCTATGCTTTTTTTTTAATTGACTTTTTCTGGGGGGGAATATTCTTAATCTCTCGTTATTCATATTTTTAATAATAATTAGTCTTTTTTC